GGATGGCAGACAATTCTGCAATAATATACTTTTTAGGGATCAGAGCAATAAAGGTGGCATTAACCCTTTTAAAAATTTCACCTCAACGCATAAAATCTCTAATCATTTGGAGAAGGTCCAATTTTGTAAGGTCCCAAAATCTTTCGAAGAACACCAAAGGGAATCCATCAGGACCTGGAGCTTTGTCACAAATAAATGAAAAGACTGCCCTCTTAAGTCCTTCTAAGGAAATATCACGTTCCAAAAGGGCACTTGAGTCAGCTGAAAGGGTTCTAAAAGGCATTATGAATAGGGGTAGATTTAATTTCCAAAGAAAAGGCCTTTTTAAATTGTGAAACAATAGCTTCATTCCAAGCATTGCTATTATCAGACTCCACACCTGGGATAGTGAGACCAGAGATGTCGTTCTACCTTCTTCTTGCACTAGCTATAGAGTGAAAGAATTTAGTGTTCCAATCACCCTCCTTAAGCCGTTTGAACTTAGACCTCTGCATCCAATATAATTCCTCAATTTTATGAAGATTGAGGAGTTCATTTAACTTGGATTTTCTTGCCTCATAGAGCTCGATAGACAAGGACCCAGCCTGCTGAATCTGGTGATCTAAGAAGGCAATCTCCTCTAAAAGATCATTAGTTTTAGCTTTGACGTTTCTACCATGTTCTCTATTCCATGCAATAAGTTTATGTTTGATGCTTATGAGTTTTTTATGCAGCTGGAAGTCTATGGAGCCAACCAACAGCGAATGCTGCCATGTGGAGGTGATTAATTCAATGACAGCACTATCTTCCAGCCAACCCAATTCCAATCTAAATGGTTGAGGACCACTTCTTTCTAAGGTAGTAGAAAGTAACAAAGGGATATGATCCAAAGAAAGACGTGGGAGGGCTTTGACCGATACCAAAGGGAAGGTCTCAGCATAGTCCGAAGAGACCAAAAATCTATTCAATTTGGACATAGACAGGGAAGAGACAGAATTATTGGACCAAGTAAACTTGGTTCCAACAGTAGGTAATTCCATAAGAGACAAACTTTTAATGAAATGATTAAAAAGCCGCATAGACGAATTAATAGTTGAGCGTATAGAACATTCATCAGGTCGTCTTATAAAGTTGAAATCACCACCAATACATACTGAAAGATTGAAATTGCAAATAACAGATTCCATAACATTAAGAAATGCCTCCTTAGAAGCAAAATCAGTGGGACCGTAAACATTAAGTAAACCCTATAAAAAACCAGGGATAGGGCCATGAAAACCAAGACGCAAAAACCTATCTCGGATGATAGAAACAAAATATTGTAGGACCATAAGGTCCCACAAGGCCCATATGCCCCCCGAGACCCCCACAACATCAATTCCACAAAAAGAAACAATACTAGAACCCCAAACATGCCTAGCATCAGAAACAGTCAAACTAGAAAGTTTGGTTTCTTAAAGAAGCAAAATCCAAGGTTTAAATTTGGCTACCAAAAAGGAAACATCCTTTTTAGTAGTGGGGTTACCCAGGCCCCTTACTTTCCACGATAAGATATTCATGTTAGAATAAGGATGAGGAAGAACCTGGCTCAAAGCAGGTTGCATCTAGGCCAGAGTGAAGAGCAGATTGTAGTTTTTTGTCTAAATCCATATGTGATCGTCCAAAGTGACAATCTCTGAGAGGTCAATGAAGTTTGGTTGCGGACTTTGGTTTCACACCACCATAGCAGTCTTTTTAACAATCCCCCGGGCTTCCAGACAGGCCGACTATTTGGTTCTCACATATCCCAGCGTATTATTTTTCTTGAAAATAGTATTAGGTTGAGCCGCAACGTCACATTCAGGGTCAGGTTGAGCCGAGTCTCCTTGCTGCTGAGCAAGCCTTTATTTACTGAGACGTCTGACCTCCTCATGGAAAAACCCTATCGAAATGTTAAACTCCAAACCCTTATCAGAAAACATGGCAACAGTTTTAGATCCTCAAGAGTGTCTCTGATAACATGTAAACCTACGCTACAGGAGGTTGCATCCACCCTTTTAAGTTGAAAAGTGCAGGAAGCCGTAGAGAGAGGAATCACATTTTCAGCTACCACTAACGCAACGGAATGCTGCAGGCGTGGAGAAGCAGGGGAGATCGCACTGTGTTCTTCATCATCATCGGATGATACGTCGACAAGGGCCATCGGGTCAATGAGCAGAGGATCGAAGCGTTGCTTGCACTTTCGGGGAAGTGCGTTGATGCCTTCACGATGATATGACAAGGGATACATGGTGAGAAGGTAGCACAACACCCCTTCAAGCAAAAACCAATGAAGTGCAGCCAAGACATGCAAACATACAGGCTCCTGCAAAGTAAAGCCAGGTATGGTTGTCCCTTTCCAGAGACAGAGTACGGTGGTAAGGATGGTTTTTGCAAGAGAAAGAAAGGTGGCTGACAGGAGATATGGGGCATCATGAGAGAGGGTTACGCTGCCAGTGAAGGAGGCGGTGCAAGTGTTAGGTAGCTTGGGGGATTTGAATTGGTTTTCATACCTGCAACGACGCCCTCCAAAAGTTCTTGTGGACCCGACAGTGTGCCCTCACAGGATGAGACCGCACAAAGTTCCAAGGTGAGGGGGAAGAAAGGCTACCGAAAAACCCTTTGTCCATGCCGAAAAATGACCGAAGGGGACCCATTTTTTTGAGATATGGAAGTTTAGAGCAACCCTTGATTTTTTCTGATGATTTACCTTTTTATGATGTCGATGAGAACCACCTTTCACAGCATGAACAATCTCTGGGGCCTTAGTGGTTAATTGAGGCTACAGATTTTTTCGGCCAGAGACGACATGCCAAGCATTATATTGTAGGGATGATAAAGCCACAACAGGCTTATGAGGCTCTTGCTTCTGAAAGAGCTTGGCATCAGCTGTATCCAGAGATACATAAATAAGAAAGAGTCATCAACCAAAAGCTTAATCGTCTCAGGAAGGGGAAGATCAGTCACAATCCAAATTTTAACACGGACAAAATGGCAATATTTGCCAAAGAAAAAATCCCAGTCCAAATCGCAGTAAACCCACAACTAGAAGCAATTCTTTTGATAGTTTCCAGTTTTCCAAGCATGTAGGGGAATGCCCCACAAACGAATCCACACCAGCTTCTTATTAGCCAAAGAAGCGTGGTCCGAAGGTTTCCAATGATCAAGAGAGAGAAGGGACCCTCTTATTCTACATAAACGATTTCGTAGGGCCAACGAGACATCTTCGGTTGATCTTAACTTGAAAACCACCTTATTACCTCCGATGATTTTGACTTTAGGGGAGTAATCAAGATTCCAATCACGTCTTCCCTAATATTCTAGGCCAAAAAAATCTCTCACAGGGGGTGAGAAGGACTCAGTAACATAGAGAGGGTAGGGAACTCCAAAAGTCCTAGATTCTTTTTGTCAATAGCGACCAAAGGAACCCTCACGGGGTTATTAAACATCCCACTGATCCCAAAAGCCTCAATCTCCCATCTTCCTTACCATGGCTACCAGATCCCTCGCCATCGTCATCTTCATCATTCGCCATCTAATATAGTACACACACATGTGCAAGGTCATTTTTGCCTTCAATTTTTTTCCCCAAAATATTGTATTCTCATTTATTGTATATAGGAATATTTATTAGACCGCAAATTATGGAGATAAAACATCTTTGACCTATAGTGGTAGGGCCTAATATTTGTGCTTGTATATGCACTCAATATATGCCTCAAATAATTAAGTGTTGTCGAGATTGAACAAAAACTGTCATATTTTTAGATGGTGTAATCTACATAGTTAATAACACAATTTTTTTTTCTCGTAGAAAATACATAGACAATAGTTCTAAATTTGATCTCAAAACTACGGTGAAAAAATTTATAAGTAGGTCTTTTGCTCGAGGGCGTAAGTGTACCATGGTGGGAATATCTCAACTTGTTTTATTAAAAAATAATAATAATAATATAATAATAAAAAAATAAAATTGAAGCCTTGTTTTTTTTGGGCAATTAATTGAAGTATTGTTTACTCTCTAATGAAGTTGATTATACAGTCTTAGTTTTTTTGGTGAATTAGAGATTATTTTAAGTCTAATGGCCATTATATTTCAGAAATTACCAAATACTTGGAGCAACAATATTATGCATATACTTCAAATAGCAAGGTAATAAATAAGCTCTTAAATTTATTTAAAAATGACAATTTTACCCCCCATATTTCATGCCTTGTATCTGACTACCTTGTTCCCCATTATATTGAAAGTAAAATGTTGGTGTGGTTTATACAAGGTGGAAACCTTATGTGTAAAAATAAGGTCTGGATATTCTGTACTGTTTATTTTAGTTAGACAATGTAGATTTGATATGTTCTTTGAGACATATAAAAAAAGAGCTATATCTTTTATTTTGCTTATTATTAGTATTATTATCGTCGTAGTTCATCGACAACGTGAAAGCCAAGCCGGTCCTAACCCTAGTCCCCAAGGGGTTGGTCCAACCCACTCCGGCCGTGATAAGGGCAAATAGCCTTTGCTCCAGGCTCGACCCTAGCCCTATCAGGTCGGCTAGGACAAATAGAAACATATAGAAATAAAAGAAAAACATAAAGGAAGAAAGATCGAGCTGGGGCAATCTAGACAACCATGTCTGAGCCAATGCCAATCTTGGCCCTTGGGCTATAGCTGCAAGGCCCTGGCCCGGCACTTTGGGCATTTTTTGTTGTCCAAGCCGGCTAGGTTGAGTAACTCGGCTCATTGTCACCCTTAATTGAAATATCAAGCACAATTATTATTGCGTGTCCCAAGCAAATTTTAATTCCCGTGTTCTTCCAAACGAGCAGGGTTAGAGTTTCAATAATGGACAAGGCAAACAAGGTGTGCGACAATCCTCAAACTAGTGTGTTAAGAAATAGAATTAAACTGGTTTAGTGGTCCATCCAAACAGGGGATTTCTCACCCGGCAAAACGATTTAAAGGAAAATGAGAGCGCCATGGCTTTCATATAAAAACCCTAATTTAAAATTTGGGCAATGGCGTCTGCTCTGTGCATTCCCCCCTCCTTTGCGCGGCCAACTGAAACGCCCCTACGATGTTATTCCCATGGAATTTCGGCAAAATTTCGGCAATTTTCTCTCTCTTCTCGCCATGAAACCTTGGTGGAGATCCAGAATTCCGGTGTCATTGCATGTCTTCGCGCTCAAAGGTACTCTCTATCTCTCTCGAACTAATGCTCTCTACCGCTCTCAAATTCTCTTATTTGTGTGTATATTTTCGGTATTATACTGGACTGGTCTCTCTCCATACATGCTTTCTCCCTGTGCGTTGCTCCTTGTTATGCACATTTTTGCGAAAGTTTTCTTTCATCTGAATAACTGATATTCAGAATTTTTGTGGTTCTTTCCATCATAGATATGACAATTGGTGTAAACAATCAAATAACCAGATAATCTGTCGCGGTCATAGCTTTGTCATATTATCTCGTTAGTTCAATATGTTTGTGATAAAATACTGACAAGAGTTTGGAGATAAAATATTCAGAGAATTTGTCACAGTTATAGATTTTCTTATAGTATTATTGCATCTTAAGTTGCATGAATAATCAAATAATCAGAGCTTTTGTCACATTCACTTTTCTATTTTGTCACATTCACGTATCTCTTGTAGTATAATTGGTATACACGATAAAATAATTGGATAATTTCACACAGATTCAGATTTCACTCTTGCATATTAATTGGTAGCCAGTGATTTAGAAAGACTTGGGTTGGGACTTGTTAAGATCCCGAGCTTGAGTCATGTCCAACAGACTTGGCCGAGTCTGTCAGATACTGATCGAGTATTATTAATTTTAGAATATTGGGAACATGCCACACTTGTCCGCCTCCCATGGGTTTGGTTCCAGATTTGGAAGCCTGCAGAGTCCGAGTAAAGTGGGTTAGTCCTAGTTGGACTGACCAAGGTTTGATTCAGTGATGGGTACAAAATTTTTCATGTATTCATGTACTTTTAATCAGTATTATAGTTCAAATGATCAGAGAATTTATCACAGTTCTAGATGTTTCAAGCTCTCAGTATTGTTGTTGGCATAGATGATAAAAACATCAATGATCGCTCCCATGATTTCCCCATGAACCCATACCACATGAACCAAACCCCTCCTGTAGCATAGTATCTCCATTAACTCACTTCCTTTTCTCATATTTCCAAGCGCTCATTCAATGCCAGGTCACGAACTATGCTGACTTCTTCCATCTTTGGTTATGTTTCTTTTTTAAAATGAACTGTGCTTCCAATGTTTGTTAAACCTCTCTGTCTCACACTTCCTTTTTCTCATATTTCCAAGCGCTCATTCAATGCCAGGTCACGAACTATGCTGACTTCTTCCATCTTTGGTTTTGTTTATTTTTTAAAATGAACTGTGCTTCCAATGTTTGTTAAACTTTTCTCTCTCTCTTTTAAATGAACTGTACTACCAATGTTTGTTAACCCCCCCCCCCCCCACCGCCCCTCTCTCTCTCTCACATTCTCTCTAAAGTAGAATGAAGTACATGCTTATTTAAAAATTTCCCTTGCAGTGGACAGCTTGCTATGGAGGCTGCTTGTGCGGCTCTCAGAGGTGGCATATCAATGGTCAGTTCATGTACTTCTATTAACTTGCATTGTGTGTCGAGAAAATCTTCAAGATATTGGAACACATTAAAAAGATTGAAGGAATCATCATTTTTTTCAATTGTTTTATTAAGTTTTGGGGGGCTTTCTTCTTTATTTCATGACCATGGCTTTTTTTCCTATTTTGCAGCTAGAGGTTGTGGTGTCTACTCCAGGTGTGTTTGAGGTTGTTTGGCTTTATGCAGAACATTAAGTTCTTTATAACTTATATGATCCAATCTTTGTGCAACAGACTAATTTCATTTCACCTCATTGTATAGGTGATAACAGCACTCACGAAGGACCATCCTTCATCGATAATTGGAGTAAATATTTGCTTGACTATTGCAAGTTTTTAAATTTTGCTCGTTGATTCAATTTCTTGTATCATGAAACACATGATGCAAAATTTAGCTTATGAGTTGCCTTAGCTGGATGTATTGGTAATAAAAAAAAAGCTTTAGCCAGGTATACTGGGAAAATGAGTTAGATAAAATTCATTGGTTACACTCTAAATGAAGTACGGAGGGAATGCATAGTATAGAACTTCAAAATAATGTAGACTTATATAAATGCATGCATAGATGTTATCATATTGTAAACTATTTTATCATTCTTTGGAACATGAGCACTATATGAGCAACCAATGATGAAAAAGGTTGGCCGCCCGATTGCCTAGGCGGCCTCACCGACAATCCGCCTAGGCATAGCCTAGATAGGGGATGCCCCATGCACTTGCCTGGGCGGGCTCAAGGGCGGTTTGGGTGCCCTCCTAGTGCCACCCCCTTAAAAAAAGAAAAGAAAAAGAAAGCCTCCATAAAAGAAAACAGATAAGGCCTATTTAAGGCCCCTTTCTCTCTCTCTCTCTCTCATGGGCCCATGTGCTCTCTGTACTTAAGTAGTAGTAAGTAAGTAAGTAGTAACGTACGTAAGTACGTACGTAGTACGTACGACGTTACGTACGTCGTACGTACTCTACTCTCCTCTACTCCTCT